ACCTGGACGCATGCTGTGCGGAGAAAGCGGTAGCGTGGACATTGGCGACTTTTTGCAGGAAGAGATCAAGGGACCTGCTAGCATGACGTGCAGGAGTGGAAGGGAAGGGAAGCGGATCTGCACGTTCGAGGAGCCGGGAATGAGCCAGTGAGTGGTGTCAGAATCGAGGCGCACGCCAACGCATCGATGGCCAATTGATCAGTCGTGCTCTCCCTCCCACTGGGCAGACTCATATCGGACGTATTCGGAGACTCTGCCATCTTCCTCTCGTGCGACTCTGGAGAGTGCGTGCACTACAGTCAAGTACCAGGCTACGCCACTCCGCTACCTGATGCTCCACCAGTATTCTGGGTGGCTTTCAGCGCAGCAGCTGCCATCGTCCTTGTCATCACCTTTTCCATTGCGCTTTGGTTCCTTGGCAGGCACTACAAGCATGAAGAATCTCAAGTTAGGTTGCCGGAGGACGAGATGGACAGACTGTTGAAGGAGCACGTGCCTGCCGCACTTCACTTTGAGAATGTGGGATACAGCATCAGCGAGAGAACAGTCTTGGATGGGATCACGGGTTGCGTCAGACCGGGCCAAGTCATGGCCATTGTCGGCGCTTCAGGCGCCGGCAAGTCTACTTGTAAGCGCGCTTGTCATTGCTGTTGAGCTGCATGACAATCTCACACTCTGTATTCTCGTCGCAGTCCTTGACATTCTTGCGGATCGCAACAAGCGTGGAGCGACTCATGGCGACGTGCTCGTCAATGGTCGCCGTATCAGCAGTGCGGACTACAAGCGCGTTGTTGGTTTTGTCGATCAAGAAGGTGCGCGCTCACGTCTTCTTTCGGTCGAGCTTCACTGACTCGATCACACTCCTGCAGACTGTCTTATGCCAACCTTGACCGTCTACGAGACCGTCCTGTACTCTGCTTTGCTGAGGCTGCCACGCGAAATGTCGCTCGAGGCCAAGCGATTCCGAACGCTTGAGACAATATCTGAACTGGGACTGTTGGGTGTCAAGGACTCACGCGTGGGCTCGGCTGGTCATCGCAGCATCAGCGGAGGAGAAAAGAGAAGAGTGTCGATAGCGTGCGAATTGGTCACCAGTCCGAGCATCCTCTTTTGCGACGAGCCAACTTCTGGCCTGGACTCTTTCAATGCTTTCAACGTCGTCGAGAGTCTCGTGACGCTAGCCCGCAACTACAACAGG